TGCCGTGTCTTAGAAGTAATATCGGTATGAGTCGAACTAATATACATAGTGCTAGTACTACGACCTAGATAAATACTCCTGCTGATATAGGTGGGAACATTTTAACAAAGATTTTTTTGATCAGAGTATTGTGATCCATTACCCCTTCACCCTGTTACGAAAGCGACTTTAAAGATGTCAATTACAAATATTTTGTAATTATATATTTTAGTGAAATAAAAATATTATATAGTTTATTTATATTATAATACATAATTTTAATAAAAGCATTAAAATTATGTAACGATTGACCCAGTCCATGATGAAAGATAATAAATTACAATAATGTCTAATTATACGATTACCTAAAAGACCAGTATATTATATTAAATAGGCAAACACGTAAATAATATTTAACTACCCATAAGTGCAATATGGTTAATTATTAGGTATAATTTGTGGTCACAAAACTACGTCAAACCTTGTGGCTCCTGGCGCGAAGATAATGTAAATCACAGTTATAAAATAAATTATGATGAGTAACAGCACTCGGTTGTCTGTTTGTGGGTCGCATCACCACATTAGCGGGCTATAAATGAATCAAGCGGCAACGATATGTCATATTCTGACGTGATGTGACTCCTCGTTGCAATGATGACATGCATGCGGATGCAGGCAGCTCAAGCCCGCAGCTGTGCCAGCCCTGAGATACGACTAACGGCTTACACAAACCAAAAGTAACATTAATAGATCTTCTAGTTCAATGTTAATGCATACACATTTAGTGTTTAGTCACACAATTATGTAGTCTATATATTTATGTAACTAATTATTTAATAAATATTCGTAGAAGTCGTAGAGCTAGAAAGAGTAGGGACATAATAATAGACATAATTTTATAAGCATATCTAGGAAGAAATTATATACGTATATATTGAATTTTAATAAAAGTGATATGAAGAATATAGCCTTAGCAATTAGGGATGCGATAAAAAATTAATCATTTTTTTTTATCTTTTTTAAATAAATACATATTTTCAACTCCTTCGATATAACCCCTAATGATTAAACTGTTGTGAAGTCTAAATCAAAACTTAAGGAACTAAAATTATCAATTACCATAACTCATTTCAGATTACTATTAATTCTTAAAACAGTTCTCATAAAACCAAATAAAATTAGTTTACAATAATAAAAAAAATCTCAATAATTTATGAAAAACATATTAGATTATTATAAAGAGGTTTTTAATTGGGTACTTTCAAATAAGGAAAAGTATAACATAGTTTTATACTCTTCTACTTAATAACATTTATACTGCCCAACCTCTCTAAAGTAGAGATGTAAATTAAAATTGTAATGTATATCGTTAAAAACAAAAATGAAATGATACGATAATGAACGAAACTTAAGTTCCTTACTTTTAAATTTGTTTCAATGGACTAGAGACATAGAACCAATCTGATAAAATTCAATAGTAATAGAATGGTATCGTAAATATCTGAACTCACTTCTTCATTAAGAACTCTCACAAAACAAAATGCAAATATAAATATATCACAAGAGGAAGTTATAATTTCGCAGATTTTTCGAATTAGTCTTTGTCTTCGATAACTCCAAAATGATTTTTACTCATTTTATAGGTCTAGAGAAGGGTTACGATTGGTAAATGTTGGTTTTGGGAAGAAAATAATAAGCACTTTAAACTAAAATTTGGGTTAGGTGACCATTAAAGCGCGAAGGCAAGCGAGCGAGCCGCGGCAGCGGCTGCCGAGCGCCAGATACCCTTTATTGTTAGTGAAACATGTATGTTTATCGAATATCTTAATAACTCGTAAAGATTCGGTTTAATCGGTAAATCTTAGGATCTTAGGATTAGTTCGGGCTTTTACAGTAACTTGGAGTTTAACATTATATAGTACTACAAATATGTTAGACGAAAAAATAGTTTTGTTTTCATCACTAACCAAATTTGGTAGTCAGTCGATCATCATTGTTCAAGGGTATTATAGTAAGTCTATTCAGAGTACAAACAGGTTATTAACGTTTGCCAAGACTTCAATGCCAAGGAGGAATTCCGTTTCGACATGTGGGTGTAGACAGTAATTAATATTTGTCTATGTTCATTAGATTCTACAAATCATCCGTAGTCTTTGTCTCGTAGTCTTTTACTTAACAAAAATAGTAACAACTACACTGTCTCAATGACTTAATCTTTGCATAAAAAGTTAAGCTAATCACATTTTATGATATGCTGATTATCAGTCTCCTACTATTTCATACAAAAAAAAAAGACCATAAGGAAAAGCATTTCAATTTAGATAATGTAATAATTATGCTTAACACGGTTTTTAATAGTTATTTGCCATTCTACACGGATCTTTCTCTGTGATGACAGTCATATGCAGAAATATGTATAAAGGTAAATAAACATCATCAGCGCCCAGAATGAACAAACAATGGTGCGTGTGCTTGTATGGATCGCAATTGAGCGCGATGGGCGGAGAGAAAGCGAGCGCGGGCGAACAACTCGTGTGCTGCACAAGCATTTTTTACTCGTAGTCGTGCTCAATCAGCGCCAGTGGCAGTTGCAATTATCTTTCGCACCAAATCGAATTATGATCAATTCGGATTTGCACACATCCGAACGAATATAAAACGGTTTGCATTAAAATTTGGCGCTCGATGCACGGGATGCGTTCCCATTAGTCGGGTCGAGCGCTAACTTTGTTTGTTCATTCGGGCCCACGTCCACTTCTGGCATTTTCATAATATTTTTTGTAGCTTTTGGTTTTGTTTACGATGCTTTTGTTTCATTGAATCCCGTGTTTTAATTTATCACATAAAATCAAAATACCGTTTAAAATATTTATGATCGCATGAAGTTATAACGTTACTATGAAAAACCATCAAACCGCAAAAACTCGCGAAAACAGACTAACTGAAAAACATTGTAGATCATAGATTAATCGTTGTGTCTGAGTTTAATTTATTACTTATACTCGTATATATGAATTTAGAAATACTTAATTATGCTTATCAGCTGTCGGGTTACCACAGTAAGACTCTGTCTAATTTGAGATCTGAAGGCCATTTATGGGATGTCTCAAGTTATTCTTATTTACAAATTAAAAAAGGATTTAGGTCAAGCATGTATACGTATAACGTCGTAATTCACTTTTCACTTATTTGTAATTGTAATAAAATACAAAGGTCACGAAGCATTAAATATCTAGGAGTAATTCTAGATGATAAACTCTCTTACAAAGACCACATCGTGGCAACTGCTGCTAAAGCAAGGAAACTAATTTACGTTGTAAGACAACTTAGAGATGTTGCTGATTTACAGTTATTAAAAACGATATATATATCATTGTGTCAATCCATCCTGACTTACTGTTTAAATATCTGGGGAGGCTCAGCTGCAACACACTTGATTATCTTAGAAAGGGCTCAGAGATCAATTTTAAAAGTTATGTTGAATAAACCGTTGAGATTCCCAACCACTGAACTCTACAAAGAAGCCCAAGTATTGAATATAAGACGACTATACATATTTCAAGCCATCATTTCCACACATAAAAACGTGTTAAACGCCCCTGATTACAATAAAATGCTCAGGCAAAGAATTTTCAAAGTCCCTGTTCCTAGAAACAAATCATCCTTCGCAAACCGCTTTCAAAAGTTCATGTTTCCATTTATTTACAATAAGGTTGTCAATAGATATAATTTCAAACAGGATACAATACGGGACGCTGAACTGAAAATCAGTAAAATCATGAGCTGTCTTAACCATAAAGAAACCGAACAATTGCTAAAAATCTTAAAATAAGAATGAAAACTGACAGACAGACGAATACACATACTTAGACATGTACACACAAACACACACACAGGCTCACAAACTATCACACAAACTCACACACACTCACATAGCTCCAAGTTAAACTTAGTCAATTAAATAAATAAAGATTGTAGTAAACTGCGATCTCTTCCTATTGTTTCATATGAGATTTATATAAGATTCTAATATTATTGATACTGTCCTAATGTATAATCGTTTTTGTATTGATAGCCTCGATACAGGCTAAGCCTAGTGTGGCTATCATTGTTAAACAAATTTTGTAAATCTTTACTTTAAATAAAAATTATTATTATTATTATTACTTACCTCACCCCTTTTTACGACCGACGGTAAAATTTAGGTTATTTTCATCATTTTTATTTGGGTTTCTTAATTTAACTTTTAATGAACTGTATATATTTGTTATTGTTTTTTCTAAATATTATAATTGTTTAGTCATGTGAAAAATGAATATTATTACATCAAAAATAGCTAAAAGGCATCTTACAACGTTTTTCTAAAAATCAGACCACATCAGATGATGAGATGTAGCATCATTCTGGATTTTCTATAGCTCCGTCTGATGTTCAGACTTATACTCGACTTGACGGGCCTGTTGGTCTAGTGGTTAGTGACTGTTAAACCGAAGGTCGTGGGTTCGATTCCCACCCAGCACAGATCATTGTGTGATGAGCACGATGATTTTTTCTGTGTCTGGGTGTAATTTATTTATATTATGTATGTATTTAGAAATATATAAGTATGTTTATCAGTAGTCTAGTTACCTTAGCACAGGCTCTGTCTAGTTTGGAATCAGACGGCCGTGTGTAGGATGTTTAAAGTTATTTTTATTATTATACCAAAAAAATGGTTTAATGCAACAATATTTTCATTTTCATCCATCGATCATTGGCACTTCACCACATCATACATCATTAGATTAAGTCTTTACTAGTCCACTGCTTACTTCACCACAGTGCGCTTTTAAATTTTAATTATCACCTAAAGTATCTCCAGACTGATCTGCCCTTCAAAACCTTGCCACACACTAGTGACTCTTGAATTACGAGTGTATACAATTGCCATGGTCATAGTCACTTACTATCAGGTGACCTACCGGCCTTGTTTGCTCTCATTAAAGTCATACAAAAACTATCCTTGCTATTCCAGCTCCGATATGGTATTTAGACCTAGTCATTAGATAAATTGTTTTTAGGTCATAAATATGTCGCAAAAATATTAGCTTCTTTTTAAGAAATTTGTATTTAGAAGCATATATTAGCTCGAGCAAAAGACGATAGAAATAAATATCACTACGTTGAATTTGGTACAAGCCGAGTGCTAAAGAAACAACCAGATATATTAACTATCTTATTATCAGTAACTGAAATTTCTACAACTATCTATAGAAAGAAAAGCTGTTTCGTAATATCTTATTTATTAAATATTATTTAATTAGCTCTAAAATATTTACACAAATCTTTCAGGTGTGGTTCCAAAACCGTCGTGCGAAATTCAGGAAACAAGAGCGTTTAGCTCAACAGAAAGCGGGCGAGGCACCAGTGAAAGCAGAGGGCAAGCGGGATAAGCCGACGTCGCCTGCGCCGTCGCCGCACCCTGCGCCCATTGCGCCTGCGCCTCAACCTGCTCACCACGCTTTACCTCACCTTTCTCCGCCCGACCTAAAGCCTATCACCTCGGCAGGTAAATATCGTAAGTTACATTTGAATATTCATTACTTTTGTTTTGTAGTTTGGAACATAATAAATAGAACCCCCAAATTTAATCCTTGTGTAAGCAGACTATTTGACAACAGACTATTTAGAACATAACTAAACAAAGTCTAGTCCTGAAAAGGCCCGCCTATATTACTATCATATGAAAATAATAATATGATATCATGTTATTAGTTTAGCCAATACACTAAAGAATAGAATAGACAATAGAGTACAGGAAGAATTGTACTTGTGAATACAATATTACCTGAAAATTCAGACAATGTCACTGTATGGCTATCATTTATATGAGTACGACTTGTTGATTTGATTTTCTTTGCGAAACATTCATACCAAAAAGTTAGAAGGAAATTTGTTATTGCCCAGATTTTATCAATATGCATGTCTTCCTTCAACAGGAAAAAATAAGTTTATTTTAATATAAATAATGTAGTAAAAGTTGTAATGAAAAATGTTTTCATTACTAGATTTTTGCAAAGCTCTCGTCACTCGCCCAAAATATTCTCAAAGTCACATTAATACATAGTATATAACTGTATCATCCGAAAAAATGTCCTCTTCCGTTATACATCATTAATTTGTTTGTTCTCTTTTATGTGACGTTGTCTTCTGTCAGTGTAATGAATTTCATTCTTTTGAATAACTCACAAAAAAGTAAGGACTCGATGTGACTTATAAGCCACGTTGTCAGACAATCTCATCATCTGATGTATAAAAGTCTATGTAAGTTTGTTATTTTTTATGCCGTACCATTCATTTGATGATCATGACATTTTCCCCTTTGCCAGGGATACAGAGAAGGATAAAGAGTACCTTTCATCCGGAATAAGTAAATGACACATCTAAAAAATATTTCATGCGAGCAAAGCCTCGGATAAAAACTAACCTTATATTTATAAGAAAACCTTTTATATTAAAATCGATTCTTGTTTGGTTCATCATGAAATTTTTCACGTTGCCATCACAGCATACAGCACAGAACATTTACCTAGGGTACAATTTATTCAGAAAAACGAATATTCCGGCGGGTTGAAATATTATTATTTTATTTGTTAGATAGTATTAAATAAGAACAGTGAAAACATATAATATAATTGATACTTTTAAGGCCCGTACATATATTCTCGTCTACGTGTTTATTACACGGTTATAGATTAGAATCACAGGTCGAGTAACATTCAGCTAGTTTTCTTATTATTCGCAGCATATACATGCCAGTAGCAGTCCAAAACATAGCAACAAGATTTTTACTACACGACAAGCTAACATAAGCTCTCTAAATGTGATATGCACCAGTAAATGACAAGTAGAGAACGATTTCTTCACATTTTATTGAGACCTGCTAAATAGAAATTCTATGTAAAACTCAGTATAATAGATAGAAGGGACGTCTTTCCGCCAAAGAAAATTCTCATCACATTAAAGTAAATTTTGTGTCTTTGCCTATAAGATTTTATTCCCGGCATCATTTTCCATACGATACAGGCGTTATGTTTATCTTATCCAGTGTTTCGGACGTCAACGCCACATTTAGCGGGAAACAACGGTACGTCACATTTGATCAACTATTTGCGTAGGGTGTGCCAACTTTGAATAATAGAATTTTATTCCTTCACATCAGCAGGTTATAACAATTTTGTAATAGCATTCTAAGGTATACCACAATAGATTACTACACAGCTTTTAGACTTAAACTATAAATAGTCAGTACTATAGGTTAGATGGTTTTGCTCTAGATGTTCTTTTAATGTAAATTTACTAGAACAAATAAAAACATTCATGCATACAAATATTTGAACTAAGCGAATATATGGTAAGGACAAAAAATGATGTGGCAGCCGAATGTATTATCGCCATGACACATAGGTCGTCAACTGTAATTAAACAAATGGATTACATTTTCCATAATTCATACTTGTATAGTTTTATAGTGCTGAATACATAAAGCTTAAGAAACTAAAATTTTATATTTCTTTAGTATCATAATAGTAAATATAAATTATTTATATGTAAACATTCCTTTTTTTGAGTCTGAATGTTATTTGAAACTATATGGAACCAATTAATGCTTCAATTTTTTTTTTTTACACAGGTACGAGTCGAACTCGTGTGCCGAGGGTTCCGTACCTACCCAGATTTACGTAGATTTTCGCGAAAATTTGTAAGTACCAAAATTTATCTTAATTTTCAACTTTTTTTATTTTTGGAATTATTCCTTCCTTATGTGTGCTGTAAGACGTTTATTTTTGTCAAATTTCGTGATTCTAGGTCAACGGGAACTACCATATAGGTTTTCGACCCAAAACCTGTCACCAAACCTGAATTGTCAATTTTGGTTAAAAGCAAGGTCTTACAGCACAAGTAAAGACAAAATTATGAAAAATAAAAAAGTTGAAAATTAAGGTAAATTTTGGTATTTACAAGTTTTCGCGAAAATCGAAATTTGCCCATATCTTTTTATCGTGTTGACTTAGAACCTTGATTTTTATACACGTAATAGGGACCATAGACCTAAGTATCTGGTATAAATTTCAACTTGCTAGGTCGACCCGTTCTTGAGAAAATCGGTTTTGACACACGGACAGACGGACAAGAAAGTGATCTTATAAGGGTTCCTTTTTAACTTTATATAAGGTATATTCGAACAGCTCTACTGCTTAGGCGATTAACAATCATAACAATAATCTGACTTTATCTGACTTAATAAATACATATATAAATAATATTTTAAGGTTTCTACGTAACGTAAAAATCTTAAAATATTTTTTTAAGCAAATTATATGGTTAATGCCTCGTTTACGATAAGAATCTAACTAAATATAATCGTTCAATTTTTGCTCACTTTTCTCGACTTCACATTCGATCGCTAATATCTGACACTTGATAAACCGAATATCAACGCGAGCTTAATATAGAACACATAAACAAATTTCCGATCTTGAGATTTCATCTCGAACGTATCGAAATTATCCGAAAACGATCATTTACATTTCATGTTTCTTATATATGTAGGTACAAATAATGAAAGATTGCCGATTGTTAATGGAAATAAATACTTCCATCACACTGAAAATATAATAATGTTTGGTTCATGCGTTGATGCAAAAAAACTTTTGAATCGCAGTGTTTCAATAGACCTCACTTAGAATAACCGTTTATCGTGTTGTTGTTTACTACATTCTTGTTATATTTTTTGCTGAAATCTATATTCAACTAAAACTAAAAAATAAAATACTATGAGACATCAGCGTTTACGACATGTAATTTATTGGCACAGCTAAGATAAATAAGTATATAATTCACCAAGATTTTAAAAACTTTAATAAACATTTAAAAGCAATGTCTCATGATTTATACGTTTAGTATTTTTGTCAAGCTGAAGTTCGTATTTATTAACACTTAGATACATTTTAGGTTTTATAAAAAGTACTTACTCTATTTTCGCATTCCGATCGAGTATTTTTATAGCTATAGTGATGTCATCAAATATATTTAGACATCATATTTTACCAATGTTACATTGATCGCTGAAATTATAGCCGAGTGAGTCATTCCTGTCGACCAATGGGAGGACTATACGTACTATTTCAGTTCGAGTGTTTGCGTGGGCGAACACAACAAGGCTGCTTTCGACAAAATATATACGGCTCTTCGTATTAGTAGCTCTTAAATATAGAACGTGGTCATGATTGTATTGTATGGGATAAGAATACTATTCTGAAGTTTACTAAGCTTTTCACAAGAGGTATAAGTAGAACCCCTTTAATCATTTAGTATATTCTGTTTATGAACTATTCGTACGACGTAATAACTTATAACCCGACTAACAACAAAGTATTCTTACATTTAAATTTGTGCAGTTAATACGCTAACCCGTAACAAAAAACTTATCGCTTGCATTAGATAATTTATGGATAAATGGTTAATTTTTGTTTATAAATATGTTCGGGGATAAAAGCGTGAACGTACAAGGGGTAGAGATAGGCGTTGTAATCGTTCACCTATAAGGTCCCGCAATCTTATAGCAGCCAACCAACTTTAGGTATATAGGATGAGAAAGTTGAGTGTCTTAGAAAGAAAAGGTAACCAGGACAGGAAAAGTAAATAGCTAATACGGATTGATTAATTAATGTAATCAATAGCTCCAACAGATTAGAGTTGCATTCCTTTACCTTGAGCTGGCTATTGCCGGCAAGTTCATGCTCCCTCGGACTATTACGAAGTAGTGAAGAGTATATTTTAAACTAGATTTTACCCGCAGCTCCGTATGTCTATGTATTGCTGTAATGTAGTAAAAAGTAGGCTCTGTTCTTCCTTGAGAATAAAGTATCTCCATGCCAAATTTCTCTAAAATCGGTTCAGCTGTTTAGATGTGAAACTGTAACAGACAAACAGAGTTAATTTCGCATTGATAAAACTAGTAGGGATATTTGACAAACTGATTAATAATACATTTTCTCATCACAAACATGATTATGTATACCTATGTTTCTCCTACATCAATTTCTCACAAATATTTTATAATTGTATACATTATAGACGAGTTGAAGGCCTGTACTGTTTACCGTGAACTTCTGCTCGTTTTGAATGAACACCATATGGCTCCTCTATGTTGCTTTGAAAATAGAGATTGATAAAATTTCTTAACATTAAACGTGATGTTCTATAGCCCGTGTAAATGGACTATCCCAAACTAAAATAATTTTCCAATTCGAACCAGTTCCTGAGATGATGAAACAAACTCTTTAGCTATGTAATATTACTATAGATTATTTGTGTTTTAAGTGCTTTAAAAACTCTTACTATAAGAAATGCATCGCAAATTCTTTCTACAATATGTTTCACTAATAGATACAACGGTTTATGATACAATCGTCGCCGTGACTTTATTTCATTTTAAAAGTAGCTTATACCCGTGGTTCCGCTTTCGTTATATCGATTTGGTCAATCAATTTTTCCAGGATAATGTAGTATCTGTATATGTTATTAAAGAGACAATATATACTCGTACCTGTGACAATTTTCATCCAGTTTTTTGCAGCCTTTCTGGCATGATTGTGAAGAAACATCCATTCGAACTTTACAGTAGTAGTAAGATTGAAAAAAAGCAAATACCTTTCCTTTCAATCTTGTTGTATTTTAATTTCATACGACACTACTTAATCTGTACCTACTTTTATATAATTAAAATAAGTGTGAGTTTAAATAGTTTCACACGTATCAGTATAATAATACTAAGGGACAGATTAGCGTGACACATGGGTTTAACTATAGAGGCTGTGGTTCAGCGGCAACCGGCTAATGCGGACTTGTGGTCGTATTAATCACATTAGCCGCCGCCGCAGCCTGACGCCGCCAGATTTTCACTTCGGCTCATTTACGCTAATTGTGCGCGCGATTGTCACTCAGGCTTGAATAAACAACGGAGCTGCGCAGCAAGGATTAGGTGATTAGCGCTTAATTGCGTTACCACGATTATTTCATATTTGCCCGTCGAGCTGCAGTCTGATTTCATTCGAGCAGATTCGTGTGCATAAGTTTTATTCTCACTTGTTTTTCAACCACTTTAGTATTTTATGAGAACGTAAGCACAGATTTGTGATCATTGTTTTTCAAAGAACTTTTACGTTAAGATTTTATAATAGGCAGAAGTTTGTTGAAAGTCCTAGGCACTGGTTATATTTTATGTAAATAGGCAATACAAACATATTCAGACTTAGTTATTTTTTGTTTCGAAAATATTTCTACTATATATTATAACTAGGAACTAAAAAATTTATAAACTTTACAAATGAATTAATCAATGGACAATGCACACTTCACAATCCCCTAATAATTGAGCTTTCAAGTTTTTATTCTTAAAATTATTTCTTAATCTCATATACAAACTCTAAATCCAAGGCTATTTCCTACTAGCATTAGCAACTAACCCCATATAGTTCAATAACATTTAATGGTCTAGAAATGTTTACTTCGTTTATAGTCCGTTTACGAATAAACTATATGACAAATTATTTTGTTTACACAGCGAACAAACTATGTGAGGAACTGAACGGAGTCGGTGACCTGGGCCTGCCACCAGTAAGCAGCAGCGGTGGAGGAAAGTGGACTGGAGGATGCGGTCTGCTGCGTCAGCCATCTGGCTTCCCGCTACTCGGCGTCGCGCCACCCAACTATCTCCTGTCCGACCACCTCGGAACTCTTGCCAAAACGAATAACCATTTATTCTAATGGGCGTGAACCCGTCGCCTTGAATCAGAGCTGCGGCTGCTCAGGCCCTTAAGTCCATGGAGAAGGTTCCATAATCACACTCGCACCGCGATTTTTACACCCACCGTTCTTGCATCTCCTGAACTTTCCTAATACCCCTCATACTATGTGATGAGTGATGTGTTACTTTAATAACTAAGAGTACGATTTAAGTTTCAATCGCACGAATAACATTCTAAGTGCCAAATCGTGTCCATTATCGTATTGTCTGCAATCACGTACTTTCTAAATAATTTTTAGAAATATTTATGGAACATAATGTAAATTGTACAAGTCACATATATGTGTAAACTAGTCTATGGTATAGTTCTTGCATCAAGGAATGCGCGTTGAGATTACTTTGTGTACTACAATCGATGTGTTCACCTTTGATCCGTATTTTAAATATATTGTTTTATACATCAGTGTGTTCATGCCGGAATCCTAATATATTTTTTTGTAATTGATACACGTCAACTGTAAGTATCACTGGTTGTACACAAAAATTGGTCTTTGCCCTTCTATTTAATCGGTAGGTTTTATCTCTGTACATCGTTCACGTAAACTGTTTAAACTCAAATAAAGAAAACTGATGGTTCAAATGATGATGGTGTGAAATAGTAACACAAATTCTACGCGTATTCTCGACTTGCGAAGCTATTAAAATATTTGTGTGATACGACTGTTATTAACACCTTGCATGCTGTATACGTTAAAAGTATACTGACTCATTCTGTGAAGAATGAAAATAACTAATTATATTAATTTTAATGTTGTCCTAATGTAATGGTATATTTATTCGTTAATGTTTGAAGGCCTGTGAAATTTAAACATTAAGGGTATCCAGTAGAGTAAATGAAACGCTGAATTATTTACCAAGTATATATACATGTGTATTGAGTGTCCTAAATGATTCACACATTTTGAAACAAAAACGTAACAAAATGTATTAATAAATTTTAAGGTTATATCCGAAAAAAATAATTGATTCATATTTTTTCTAGTCACCAAAACTTAGTATTATTTAAACGAATTATTATTTATTGATAAATAAATAGTTTAATAGTTGATATACAATTTAAATATAAGTTGGTTTCGGCCAATGTTGTAAATATGTATTAAAAATGATGTACATAATAGTTATAATAGTGGTGTACCCGAGTGTATGTAATTATTGATGAGTTTGTGGAGGGTGTTTTAATAAAGCCAACAATAAATCGTCTTCGTTTGTTTGCCTGTATTCTGACCTCTTCCCAAAATTTTAAAGAAATATACAGCAGTATTCGTAGTTATTGAGTTAACCTTCACAAAATTATTTACGACATAGAAACGCTGTTTAGAAAGAGGTATCTATTTTCACTTAGTTATGAATGTGAGACCAAGTATGATTTCAAATAATCATTCCATAGATTGGTTGTGCACTGCAGGAAAATTCCTTTTGGAAGAACAGTTTGCAGAATGGTTGCATTCTGTGCCGGTGGACAGGAGCCTCTGAGCCTTTCTTAGAAAGCAGGTAAATAATAGGTAGAACTAACTCTCGGCGAGTTTGATTTTACATAAATATTTAGTAGATGCCTCACCTTAGACAAAGGGAATAACAACAATAATATCAATATATATTTATTGATACTTTAAATTTTATACCTTTACTACTTAATACTAGAACTTAACACTATTTTACATTGCAGTTAAGGTTACAACGGAACAGAGAAAAGAAAAATATCATGGCTCAATCAGGAGAATACTACTCGTACCACATTCAGAGGCTGTATGGTGAAGCCGGGTACCAGGCGTAGGTATTTGTTGGGTATGCATTCTTAAAAATTCTGAAAATATAAATGGAATATGACATACAGTCTCACGTATGTACGTCTAATATGACACATTGTGTCCTTGTTTTTTATCGGGATGAATCAAGGGCAAATATTTAACAGGCCATAAAATATCCAAAGAAATACATTTCGAGTATGATGAGCTATTTTATGTATTTAGGAAGTATATAATCTCTCTCTTAGATATATTTATAAACTGCCTTAACAACGATAAATGGCCACCTTGAGTCTAGGTTTAGATTGACCTTGTCCGTTGTAGGGCCAATGTACTCTAATAAGAAGTATTTATTCTCATGTTATTGACAAAAATAACAATGTCAACTATTTTTGGGGTTATTCATTCAATAAAATCGTTGCGTCAGATTTTAGAGTATTGATGCCAACATGAATTATCACTACACTTTAGACTTGTTAATCCAAATCTATACTTATTAAAAATCTAAAATTTAAGACTAAATTCTGTATATTAAAAATATTTAGAAAAACATTTCTGGAGGGCACTCATAATCGATACTGAAGTCAAAATATTCAAGTGCACCCTTTAGTTGCGAAAGTTAGTCGTTAAAGAGGGCAAAACAGGGTATTACATTTTATCCAACCCATTCATTCTTCACGTTCATTCATAGCAGTTTTGGTATGTACCAAAATATAACAAAATGTGGTTTATATGACTATAGGGTCTAGTTAATCTAAAGAGATAAACTAGACCCTATAGTCATGACACTGCTCAAATAATCTACTTCTGCAAATAATATATGAAACGAAGAGTTAGTTTATTTCAGTTGAAACAAATTCATGATCTAACACCATTTTTTTATAATTATTTAATTGAAATAAAGCATAGACAAAAATAGACAAGCAGAAGTACTGATATACTACTTTGAATACCACGCAGACGAAAAGCGGGTACCAGCTAATTGTAACTAACATTACAGTTAGAAATGCCATATTTACCTAAAGTGAAAAAAAAGAAGATAATTTGAAGTGTAGCTTGCCCGATTAACAAAAGAATTCTTTAAATACAGTCATTGTTTATATTTGAATCATCTGCATCAGAGAGCAGTACAATAGATAATGTATAGGTAACTAGTGATCCGCCACGGCTTCGCAGGGGTGCAATGTAGATATTGCTAATACTACTAATGTGGTGTCTACTGGTACTAATTTTAAGACAAATCTTTGAAATTCTCGGAGTTCCTTTACTATAATTATACATGTATTATATATAAACCTTCGTCTTGAATCACTCTCTCTATTGGTAAAAACCACATTAAAATCCGTTGCTTAATTTAGTAGATCTAAGCGTACAAGAAAAAAAAAGCGACTTTATTGTATACTATGTAAAGATTACAGGTAGGGGACACAAATTAAGAATCAGAATAAACTGTATAAATATTAGTGCAACGGTTACCGAATGATGACATGGTAACTCAAGGGTTGTAATCACTTAAGTGTGAAAGATGAGCTAACAAATTAATATACAAATGACCTTAAACAGGTTCAATCATAGCTGGTTTTACTAATAATACATTACAGGGTTCTTCAAAATAAAAATAAAAAGGTGTGTTTATAAGGATGTCCAAACGACTCTTTCAGAGTTTTTTAAATGTTTTGAAGCACGTTCCGTGACTATAATGACTTATTTTCAACAATCCAGACGCGTTAGTAATATACATTTTCTTCAGCCAATTCTTTTTTCCTATCCTATTTATTATATGTATGACCTAAGTACACTTTGTTGTATATCGTGTTATGTTTCAATATGCCTTGTATTTTTGGTTTTACATTATAAATAAATAAATAAAAAAAAAAAAAAAAATGTAACTAAAGTCACAGTAACTGAGGAGTCTACTTAAAGTTTCTTATCTTGAGAGATGAAATTGTCTTGTCTTTATGTTCTTTTAAGAAAGTAATTAAGATAGATTAAATTTAGTCTAGTCACATGTTTCAACAAAATCGTCTCAACTCTATTTTAAAGTATTATTAGACAGCTCTAGGTAAAATATTAAAACATTTGCGCAAATACGAAGAAAATCTCGCTTTCATATCGGCTTGGCTTGTGAGTGATTACATAGTGATTTATGAGGTTGTTAATATATGTATTTATTTATGTACAGTACTTCTATGTGTAGAAGCTACTTAAAGACAAACGAATGGCGTAGTGGTTTGTGTAACGGACTGCTATTCCAAAGGTCGCGGGTTCGATTCCCGCTCAAGTCAAACATTTGTGTGCGTGAACATTTAATGTTTGATTTGGTCTGGGTGTTTCTATGTACAATAAGTATGTATTTACAAAAAAAAAAGTATATATGTATTTATATCAGTTGTCTAGTACCCATAGTACAAGCTCTGCTTAGTTTGGGACTAGATGGCTTTGTGTGAATGTGGTACAATATTATTATTATTCTCTTTATTTACTTTATATACATATTATTTACATTTTTAAATATACACTTTATAAAAAAAAGACGAAAAGCAATACTATATACTATTATTATTATTATTATTATGAAGATTTGCTTGCTTACGAAATATGACGAATATTGCTGTAGATGTGTGATGTGTTTCTGGAGATATTGCAGGGACAAAGGAAGTGGCTTACGAACGCGTTGCCTACCTTGTAGAAACCATTTAATATCCTTTCTAAACAAACCAATAGTGTTTTCAATAGGCTATATTCAAGGCAAGATTTAAATATGCGGGTCAACCCTGCATAATTACTGTACTGGATTAGAGTACACAGTACTTGAGTTTTGATATATATATCAATCAATCCATCGAATAGTATATATATACTACAGAGCACCAATAAGTACATACTGAAAATAAATTGATGGCAGAAAAATCTCTCCTAATTCGCAGAGGTTGAATACCAGTCGTGAATAGAAAATAAAATCGTCAAAATTTGTCTTTAAAACCCATCAGATAGCTCCAGTTTGTATACTTACCAGTTTGTATTTTTAGTAGATTACTGCAGTTCTTATAAGTTCTAATCTTAAAAGGCAGTGCCTCGTTCTGCACATCCAGGCTAAAGTAGGTAATTTACACGTTTTTTTTACAAGCCATTACAAATTACGATTTTTAAAGGGTATTTGGATTAATAAATGTATATTATTATTGAAATACGATACGCTACACTATGCCACTTGA